CTCTCGTCATCTCTTCCTCCCTCCCTTTCCCAGTCTTTGCTGTTCTTCCCCCCCCCAAATCCGCGCTGCCCTTCCCCTTCTTCGCAAATTGGGGCCCGACCTACATCCTCCTGCCATTTACTTTGGGACCCTCGATTCCTCCTCCACTACCTCCTTAACGCGGGCAAAGTTACCCTGCATGCTTCACCCCATCCCTCTGACTCTCCTTCTACCTCCTGTCGTCGCATCCCATCCTGACCTACCAAACCCCAACCCTCTCATCCGGCATCCTCACCCCCCCCTCCTTCGTCCTTCTCCTGCTATTAAAGCCTCTCAAGATTTCGATGGCGATCTTTTCCTACCTGCCTGAACAGGCACTTGACTTCCACCTAGTGTTCCTTCTCCCCCTGCCTATCCGCATTCACGGCATGATCGCCGCCTACTTCTTCCGAGAGCGTCCGTACACAACTCCTGTCCCACTTGCAACATAACACTCCCACAAAAAAATGGAGTTGCAGCCGTAAACGAATGGACGAATGGAGGGAGGGAGGATGGAAGGAGGGATCTAGGGACGGAGGGAGGGACAGACACAGAGAAAGGGCCTCGCCACACGACTCTCGAAATGTGAAAAAGACAGAACTGTCACGGGTGCATCTGGTCATTGGTCTATGGGGAAGTTCATTCTCATTTTGCACATTTCAAGAGTGGTATGGCGATGCCCAAAGAGAGAGAGAGAGAGAGGGTGCACTTCGAGCACGCCGGGCGAACCCACCTATTTCGTTTTCGGGCCGAGTGTGAACGGAACTCTCCACGTCTCCACGCACCATAATGGTGAGAGAGAGGAAGGGAGGCAGCGGGAGAGAAATAGAGGAAGGGAGGGAGGCAGGGGGACAGAGAGAGAGGGAGGGAGGGAGGTAGGGAAGGGGGGAGCGAGCACTTCGCCACGTCCCGCGGACTCACCTATTTCCTTTTTGGGGCGAATGTGAGCGGAACACTCCACATCTTCAGACACAACACCGCAGGCGCAGAGAGCGTGCACTTCCGCAGTCCGGTTTGCACACAGCTGGACTCTGCTCCGCCTGCCTATTCCTGTCTTTTCCGATACCGACGAGAGACTGCAGTTCCGCACGGTGGTCTCCGCATCTTTTTTCTTTTTTTTTTTTTTCTTTTTTGGAAATCGAATTAAAACCAGGTAACCGGAGGCCGGGGACCTCACAATTCAACCCGGAGTTATCCTGGCAGCATCAGCCAGTTTAGCTTACGAGCATAGCTCGAACTTTTTTTTTTTTTTTTTTTTTTTTTTTTTTTTGGGAATAACTCGAACATCTCAACTCACCTTGGGTATTTCATGGCGTGCGGAAAGGCGCTCCGGCTGGCGCAATTGCACTCGGCCCTGGCGTCGCTTGCCTTCGGGCAAGCCTGTCCGGCGGCGAGAAGTTCCGGCGTGGAAGTCTCGGCCGCGGGTGGCACCTCGGTATTGTCGTTGTCGATACTGAGACAGTCTATGGTGTAGTCCATAGTGATGGTGTCAGCGGCCAGATTACTCCAAGCGCCTGCCACCCGCCTTTCGACAACTATTATCAATTTGTCTTGGTAGTAGCTCTAAACCTTCATCTTAGGGCACGCTCAAACTAGGAACCCAAATTCCCAAGAAAATGAGAAAATGGGAACGGCCGTTTTGAGGAAATGCGGCCCTGGCCGGTCACACTGTGTTCCTAGCACACTAACGACAAGGTCGCTACATCGCTCTCTGCGAGGTGCTTGTGGAGGGCGCCGGTCACACTGTGGATACCTCAAATGGGAAATGCAATTATTCGTTTTTTATAATATGTCTTTTCTTTCTTTTCTTTTTGGGTCCAACAGGTGTCCATACGAACCTCTCTGCTGGTGCTCCTGCGTCTGACCGCTCCGCGCGTGCGCCCATTTCCCCAAATCTCCTTTTCTTCAATTGATAGGCCGCTAATATCGTGGGTTTTCATTTTTTCTCCAATTTTGCACGGTAATTCCGAAAAAGATTGAGAATTTGCGGTAACCTCCAGAGGTTCCTTCCCCCGAGGCCGCTGACAAATGGTCACCCCTTTTGAGAATTTGGGCAGATGTTGACCATGTGTGACTGTCCGGGAACCCTTCTTTTTTGGGGAAATGGGGATTTGGTACCTAGTGTGAGCGTGCCCTTAGAAGGGTCGTTACGACGAAGTGTAGGGGAGGAGCTCTCCACCAATATGGAACCGGAAAATGTTCAAGGGGAAGGTGATGGCCGTGCTCAAGTGCCGAGCGACTCTCAAATGGAGGAGGAAAGAGTCCGTGAGATGATAAGGGCCTGTTACGAGGAAGGGATATTGCCGTCCAATATCAATCCTGGAATTCGCAGCCCTAAGGCTGCGGTATAGTGGGCTTCGGCGTCTGTGTCAAGGTGTCGCATTTTTGGCGGCGGGCGACCAGGATGCAAAGTGGGTTTTTCGGGGGCAAAAAAAATTGGGGGACCGGTCCTTGGCAAAATTGCGGACTACCTACAGCTAGCTCTGGTAGAACCGGGACTTTTGGAAAAAGGAAGGACCGGTCCTCGGGTGGAAGTGGACCCCAAAAAGAAGTGGGGGGCGTTGGACCGGTCCCCGGGTAGAGGCGGACCCCAAAAAGAAGTGAGGGCATGTGAACTGCAAAAGGGCCCTCAGGCCCAGGCATTGAGCCCCGTCTTCTCAAAACAGGGAGGTCAGGCACAACGAAATAGGCGTTCTGCAAGAGGCAACTTTGGCGATTTTCTGTGCTCGGACGAATATGCACAAAAATCTGAAATTTTGAGAATCCATAAATGAGGTCGTGTTCTTTCCAGAAATAATAATAGAACATTTACAAAAAATCATTTACACTGCGAAATAATCGTCGCGCCGATTCAGCACATTTTCCATTTTTGCCACTCAGCCATGCCTGGGCCAACTAAAAAAGTACTCCAAATTCAGTGAGTTTTCACGCTCAGAAGAATGAGTGAAAAAACCCGAAAATTGAAGTACTCGTAGATTTTGTTGTGATCTTTCCAGGAAAAACGGTAAATAAATTAAAAAAAAATATATTCCAACTGCAAAATAGATTGCGGCCGCAATTTGACCCATATTTCAATTTTGTCATTCAGTCTCTCTCTCTCTCTCTCTCTCTCTCTCTCTCTCTCTCTCTCTCTCT